GTCTGCCGCCGGTAGGTGTCGCATTTTAATCTCGCTTTGCTGCTTGCATATCTCCATTTCCCTTTGGTCCCTTTAGCTGAGTAACGTGTATCTGATAGTCGAGGTACTCGACCATAGCATTCTTCCTTGTTTAACATTAACTTCGACGCACTCCCCGCTTATAGAGGAGGCTTTCCACCTATTTGAGCGAATTTAGAGCTACTATTTTAACAGTAAGAAAGTACAATAAAACAAGAATGGAAGATAATTTCACGAGACGAAGTTTCTATACCATCGCAGGTCTTTCTACATTGTATGTACAAAGCTTTCCGATTTTAGGAAAATTAAAAACAAATTACAGAAATGTAAAGATAATTTTCCCTTAAAATTAACTACCATAAATAAAACAAAAATATAGAGGTCTTTGTATTATTTTGACAATAATTATTCGATATCGCAGCTATTTGATGACAGATTTTTTAGAATTTAATTTTATTCGAAATTTGTGTTATTCCTAAAGAGTAGAAGTTAATATGTCATAAAACACCGAAGTTAAATAATTTTTTACATTGAATAAAAAAAGAAATCAAGAACATTTATGAGTCGGAAACGTCTCTGTAAGAGTATACAAAAAACTACAAATTGATACCGGCCGACCAAGCTTTGTGGTGGCTTTTTCTTTCAACGCCAATCTCCGCTGAGATTGCTGTGCAGCAGCCGCGTCGTATTGGGCAACACCGTTCGTGCGTTGACTAGGCCGCATATCCAGCTTATGAGAATTCCATGGTCAAGTCGAGGAAAATTCCCTTCTTGTAGGTGAAGAATAGAATATAATATTATTGGCAAATAATTGCCGGGCAACTGACCTTAAAGAGACCTTAAAGCCACCGCCGAATGCGATCGTTCCACGGTGTTATGGCCAGCGTACAGCGTGGGGTAGTAAGATTGGGCCACGTGCGCGGGGTACCAGCAAGCGGCTGGCAGCGAAGTTATGATACGCTGCGACGAGTGGAAGATCGATTGGGGGCGGATTCTGAAAAGCATTTCGGGAATAAGCCGATCAGTTCTTGAGAAATAACAACAAAATTACTTCTGGACAATACTTCACGAAATTTCATTGGGTCTCGTCACACTCTTATAACGCTTGCACTTGTTAGAAATAAACTTGTCTGGGTCTTCGGCACACGTCTGTTGGCCTAGGCGAGAGAAAATAATTTGCTATTGAATTTCTTGACCGAATTGCTTCAAGCAAAATGTTCAGCAAAAACCGATTTACCAACTTTCAGCTATTCGCTCCGACTTTGTAAGTTGTCTCACGGCTAGCTGATATTACGGCCTTAGCTTCTTGTCAAGCTTGGTGGCGTGGTGTGGTTCTGACCTATGTATGCATCGCACGGTTTAGCCTGCGTTAGCCTGTGGGGAGTAGATTACAGTACAGACATGTGAGTTGCCAAAACTAGTCAGGAAAGCCTTGAAGTGTTTCGATTTAAGTTGCATCTGTTTCATTAGCCCCTGCAGCGAAGCATGGTCGGTAATTACTATGAAGTCCGCCCTGATTTCCATTCAGTTACCGAATAGTTTCGCTGGGCTTTCGAGAGTTTCTCGGACCTATAAGCGATAGGAAGCTCGGTTCGTTCTTCTTCTGCTTGTGTTAACACACAGACGATGCCGTGCAGACCGGCGTCGCAAAGAAGAAAAAGCTGCCTCGAGAAATCGGACATACGTAAGACTGGCGAAGACGTTAGACTGCCTTTTAACTGGTTAAAAGCCTTCAACTCTGCTCTTCTTCAATAAATAGGTTAAAGCTCAAACTATGCATGTGTAGTTCTCCACTAACATATTCCACCAGGCGAGAGCTAGAAATCGTTAAAATTCTTTGGTCGTGACAGGTTTAGAAAAATCTCTGAGCGCCGACTTGCATTATGCATTATGCGACTCGAAGTCTTCAGAGAGAACCAAAAGGTCGAGCGAGACGACTACTATCTGCCAGAAGGCGTGCTTCATGTGTAGACCGGTAAAAGAGCGAGCCGGAGGCAGCCTCATAAGGATTCCATACACCTAAGGAAGGTATAAAGCCGAGTTTTTTCTCCTCGCTAAACAAGAACTCATTTACTACTCCATGGACTCCTACACTCTTCGCTAACATCCATTGCCAACTCGATTACGGAAAACATAACACTTTCTTTCTCCGGCGAAACCGGAGAAGAATTGCACATCTATATGGGGGATCTATCAAAAGGGGACGCCCTAAGCCTTCTTTCTCGTACAATTGAATTGTGCTAATAGGTTGATTGGTTCTTGGTTGAATCGTGACACTCTTCGTGACCTACATTTAATACTGTAACTGATTCCTAGTCATCCGTGATTTTGTCGACTACCCCAAAATTCATCCAATAATCTGTACCTAAATAAACATCCTGTTTTAGATAAAGGTGATGAAGAACTCTAGTAGGTTCGTCTGTTCACGATACTTTATCTTCATGACGATTCGTCCTGTAACACTCTGAATTATTTGCTGTTCATATGTACCCTGAACAGCTAAGCTTTTGAGGGTGATTATTAAATGCAGTCGCAGCGTCGCTGCCAATACAAGTCACTGTAGCACCTGAATCTGATAAGTATGGCAAATAAATATGGTGAAATTAGTCTTTTGCGTCTGCCGCTAACTCGCTTTCAAGAATTCTGGCTCGTGTTGATGATCTTCGAGTTCTACCGTTATAACCATAGCCCCAATATACGATTTCCTCGCTTACGTGTATCGAGCAAGTCGGTCCTAGAATGGCAAGTGTTCGGTAGTGCTTTCCGACTCAGTTTGGGTCGCGCGATGTACCCCTACTGTTTGGATGCGGCAGCAGCAGGGTGTACGCTGGGTTCGGACAGCCGTATTTCCAGACTACAAGTTTGACACCTTGCCCTAAAAACACTCATGGCACAGCATCTATAACAAAAGATGTGACGCCTGGTTCTAAAGACATTCCTTGTGTCGGAGACCTGGACCGTCACTATTCCACCATTAACGTGGCTTCCAATGTGTTGCGGCGACCTTATCGGTCTGCATCTCCTTCACCTCTTAATCTAACTGGGATACGAATGGTCTAGACCCAAGACTACTGCATTTTTACTTGTTTATAAAAATTATTCATTACTCCTCTTGTAACAGCGAAAAACAGGTATTTGCTGCTATGAAACTTCCAATACCATTCAGTGGCCGGATGATCACTTAAAATGTTCTGATCTGCGTTCAGATTCGTTAGCCCTTAAGACGAAATTCGATAGAGGAATTTTCCGGTCTGAAGACCATCTTGAGCGGCTTCAAACCAGATCCGCCCGCTCTGGATACTGGAACTTTAACCTGGTGGACTGCAACGTTATCGTTCCCCTTAGCTCCATACGAATTAGACGTTCGTTTGTTCGCCTGTGCTGGTAAATCTATATTTCCCATGGAATTTCCCTGGTCTAGGAATTTGATTTTGTACTGTTCCCCAGCTGCATTGTTGCTAACTGTGTTAAAAGGATGGAGGTCAGAACGTACCACACTAGTAATCTCTTTTCGTGACCGTTTCCGCAACCCCTTTCTCCCCTAGTGCCTGCGGGCCTAGTGAACTGTTGATCGTCAGAGTTTTGAATTTGCTCTGCGGCTGAGATATCTGCTTGTAATTTGTTACTCCGGAGATGGTGGCGGTGGTGGTCACACTATGTCTTACAAGTTGGTCATGAGTAAGATTCTGAAGACACTCCGATAATGCTTGCACTGTGCTACTGCTCGAAGTCTACTGCCTTTAACGGCTTGTTATATTCTAAGAATATAGCTTCTAAGTCCTTTACTACTATGGTTTTCTGAACCAATGTTACCTAACAAAACCGGCACCCCAACAAATCACGCAATAGCCAAGTTGGAAATAGTACAGGCGCCCAGTTTGCACCCACTGCAGTTGAGAAGTTCTGATCAGCATTTTATATTTTTGTCAACGCATGACTCGACTCTGCGGTACCTTCACCCGCCAAGTATGCAAACATATGAATTCACCCGCCAAGCCGGTCAACACATTCTGCAGTGCCAGCCGTGCCAATTACGCAAACTCGACAGTACGTTCACACGCCAATTATAACTTCCTACCTCCGGGAATACGGCACGGAATACTACACTATCTCAAGCGCTCACTACCCCCTTGTGCCGCGGCGTGACCCAGAAGTGTCTACTCGGTTAGACACAAATACCAATATGTCTGAACTGTTCTTTTAATTCATAATATTAAATTTGGATCGTCACCATTACAACATTCTGCTTTTGGGCATATTAATTTCCTTGATTCGATTGGTTGTGGTTTTCCCATAACTGAAGTTACTGGACTATGGACTCCCCTCAACTCTAGCACTTACCCTATAAGCAGTACACGGCTTTCCTCAGAAATGTCTCCATCAATAAAATTTTCGTTTAAGTCATTTGGATAACGAAGATTCGCTAACGAGAAAAAAATGGGAACTGGTCAAGGTGACAAGGCGATTGGGAAAAGGGACTAAAACGCAACGGAGTAACGAGAACACTTAGTAAAAGGGTATACTAGATTAGTCGGAAAGTATGTATATAAATAAAGTAAAGTATATAAATTCTTGATCAGAATCACTAGCCGAGTCGATCTAAACATTTCCGTCTGTCCGTCCGCTGATATGAACGTTGTGATCTCGGAAACTATAAGAGCTAGAATATTGGGACTTGCCATGTAGATTCTTGGGCTTCCTGCGCAGCGCAAGTTTGATTCAGAAGTGCGCCACGCCCTCTTTAATCCCATAACCTTTCTCAAAAATATTGTTAAAACTTAAATGAATTGTTGTTCTTATTATCAATACCAATCTACATGCCAAAAATTATTCTAATCGAACCATTTGATCTAAATTTTACTGTCGAGCAGTCCGCACAGATTAAGTTGAACAAGGTTTCTATGGTCCTTAGTATATATTTTCTAATATTTACGCATAAAGATGAACGATTTGTAATCTATGGTAACTCTTTTCAATTTCAGAGAATACTTAAAATAACAAAAATACTAATGAACACAAAGGAGGATCCTGAGGTCGGGACGTTCCTTGAAGGAGGATACTCTGAAGAATCTGATACAGACTCAAATATTCTTTTGGAGGATAATTTACTTAATAGCCTGGACTATTGGCTTGAAAGATTGTTTGATGGGAGAACACAAAAATACTATATAAATTATTGGCCAGACTTTACTACAAAGTAATAAGCCTAAAAGTACCTATGTTAATGAAATGTTTATAACTGAAGCACATTTAAAGTCAAATAATAAATCGGTCCCTTAAATTGTACGTGAACTACACTACATTATGTATTCATTTAGAAACCGATTGGTGTATCACTCATTACGGTTGGACTTTTATGACAGATTTTCAATTAATAAATAATAATAATAATAAAATACGGGGACTGTGCACCTGAGTGTGCTCAGTCACTGTATATAATTTCTTCCCAAGTATATTTAGGCCCATATACCAACATAATACAATTATTATCGCATTAACAATAGTAAAACATAGAACTATATATCACAGCACTTTCCGCCAACACATTTTGGATCCAGACCGTCAGTACGCCAAAACATTAGCATTCTGCCGACTCCACAAAATCATATATAGAGCAATAACTTTGCAAGTAACCATGTAGCACTTTTTGCGCTATTGAGAACCTTATAAAATAGTAAGGAAGGAAGAACGCTATAGATTGGTGTAATACCCATTACGGTTGGACTATTATAACAGATTTTCAATTCAGCCACTGTATAAAGTACGGGAGTATACTTGGTGCGCTCAGTCACTGTGGATTATTTCTTCCCAAGTAAATTTAGGCCCATATACCAACATAATACAATTATTTTCGCATTAACAATAGTAAAACATAGAACTATATATCACAGCACTTTCCGCCAATACATTTTGCATCCAGACCGTCAGTATGCCAAAATATTAGCAATCTGCCTACTCCACAAAATCATATATAGAGCAATAACTTTGCATGTAAGCATGTAGCATTGCGCTATTGAGAACCTTATTACATAGTAAGGAAGGAAGAACGCTACAGTCTAGTACCTCGACTATCAGATACCCATTACTCAGCTTAAGGGACCAAATGGAAATGGAGATACACACGCAGCAAAGCGAGATTGAAAGGCGCCACCTACTCGCGATTTCAATATGTGGTTATGTGACGGTAGACTGCTTAAACCGTTATGGGCGTTAGAGCGGGTGTGGCAAACTTTTTTTTGGGTCAATCGATAGGTATTGACGAGATTAATACATTTCAGTTACAATTTCTTTGCAGCATGAACATTTTGGGCGCCACAGGCTTTGGCGGTTTGTGGCGTTAAGGTTGGGCGTGCCAAACTTTTTTTTGGATCAATCGATAGGTATTGACGAGACTAATACATTTCAGTTCAAATTTTTTTATAGCAAATTGTGGGCGCCACAGGCTTTGGCGGTTTGTGGGATTTAAGGTTTGGCGTGCCAAACTTTTTGTTGGATCAATCGAAAGGTATTGACGAGACTAATTCCAGTTAAAATTTTTTCTAGCATAAAA